CCGGGATTACTTGATCCCTCAGGTGAGGCTTCGGAGGCCGAATAGGCCACACCCTGTTCGGGTGTAGACAGGTCATCAAGATCTGATGACTGTCGTAGTTCAGCGTCGGAAGAATCGTCCTCATCGGACGTCCTCCTACTGGGCAATTGAATTCGGCGGTATTTTCGTGGCTCATCCTCCTGATCGGACGAACTGCTGTCCGAAGAAATTATTCTCCGTTTTCGAGCTTGGAGAGACGATTGTGTTGAATTGGAAAAACTCCGCGAAGCACTTCTCTGCTTCCCACTGTCGATATTCCGCTCTACCGGGCTACGAGCACTACGCGAAATAGTTTTTAACGTTTTCTGTAAACCCTTAATTTGTTTACGGATCTCCGAGATATATTTAGGCATTTTAACGCACACGAAACACGCACTAGCAACCCGAAAAACGGAAAATGACGTAGCGGACGCGGCACAAGCGTATGGTACGACACGCTGCGAAAGAATGAGGATATAGGGCGAACAGCAGGTAGTTCCAGGGGTGGTTTCTGGATTTTTGGAGCCGCGCAGCGTGTGGACGTACGTCTGAGGGAGTACTACATGTTATCTTAATTAGGAGACGAGGCGTAATATAATTAGTGAAATAGAGTGGAAGATGGGGATAAAATATACTACATGACTCTTAGCTTAACCGATTTTAACAAATTTGGTATAACTCAAAAGGGTTTAATTTGTTCTTTAAAAACAAAACTAGATATGAAAAATAGTCAAATAAAACTTCTATTTTTAGTTTTTTAATCTAAATAAGTGTCATTACAAACATTTATATATAGCTTTTATTTTAAGTTTTTAAAATATTTGTTTTAAGTCAGTAGTAAATAAAACGAAACTTGTGTTTACATTTTGTTTAATGATTGACGTTCCGATCAATTTTAATTCGGTCTTCTTCAGAAACTATAATATACGTATAAATAATTTTCTACGTTTGTGGTAAGAAAAAATTATATATTAAACACATTGTTAGTGATAAAATTGTATTGTATATTATAGATTCTAAAGAAGTCCGAATTAAAATTAGTCGAAACGTCAATCATTAAACAAAAAGTAAACACAAGTTTCGTTTTATTCACTACTGACCTAAAACCAAGATTTTAAAAACTTAAAATATGTATAATAAAAAAGTCAAAGAAAATTGAAAAAAGAAAAAATATAAATAGTTTTTATAGTACTGTATTATCGAAAAGGAACGGCATCAGCGATGACCATGAAATGAAGGTCGGTGCCATTTTATATGTAAATTTATATAGGAAATGTAATCTATCGTCATTTCCCATCCAACTGGACGCCGTTTTTTTCTATCATACGGTAGATATATGTACAAATATTTTATTCAAACATAAATATTATTTTCTCTATTTGTACCTTTTACGGAGCGATCAACATAGTAATATAGGATGACTATTTATCAGCTGTTATTACTAACGTCAAAACAAACCAAAAATTAAATAATATGATAAGTTTTTTGACGATATTTAAATTCGATTTTCAAAATAATGTGAGATAATCAACACGAGATGAGAAATAAATGGGTTTAATCGGAAGGTTTTCTAATTCAGTTGTTGAATAAGTGTAGTAAACAATATAGGTTACGTGCTTGTAAGAAATTTTTATAAAAAAACGCATATTAAGTATGATATGGTCTCGTACACTTTCGATTAATAATTCATTGGACATCTTTAATGTAAAACCGCTCCACTAAAAACAGTCGCTCGGCATAGACTATTCGCCCCCTCCCATGTATTCTCTGATTTCGCCTGATGGCGCGAGTACCGCCGATAGCTCGAAGCGCACCGAGCGCACTGAGCGTACCGAGCGCACCGATCTAATGCGGTGCGCGGGCTTACATTTATTTCAACGTAAACTGAAAATTACGTGTCGCTCGCTCTCGCCGATACCTATTCAGTGCGCGCGGAGCTTAATAATTATTAAAATTGTACAATGCTATTTACCATCAGAATTCATCATGAATAAATATAGTCATTAGTTTTAAGTAATATACAACTGTGTTTTCTTTCTCTGTTCATGCCTGGCGCCCAATATTCATATTTTTGATTTTTTTATGTTAATTAGTTTTTCCCCAGTGAAATACCTTATCCACGACTGCTCTCCGATGAAAAGCTGCCGTTCGCAGTGGTAGGTGTTTAAAAAATGCTATATCACTGATTAAAAAGGATTAACAAAGAAAGAATAGTGGAGGAGTTCCATTGTAATTACTTACTTTAGAAAAGTAGTGTAAGGGCAGTACGAACAACTGAAATTAGAAACAATCCTTACCAGGGGTAAAATATTAAGTCTTTGCTAACATTAACTGATTCTCTTAAAATCTTCGGTTGCAGAAAAGACAGAAAGTTGCACTTTGCGTTTGGAAACTTGGTGCTCTATTTGATTATGCAAAAAGGAACACTTAGCATACCATTGAAAATGTTTATGTAAACGCGCATTAACTATTATGATGTGAAACACAGTCCTCTAGATACCACGGTATATTCTGTTGAGACAAAGTTTATATTGCAAATTATTAAGAAAGAAAAGTTCTTTTAACCTAGCGTCAGTTTGTTTTATGCCGTTAAGTCAAACCAGAGTTATCCTTATTTATATAAAATCAAGTTTTACATTCCCCCCACTAGAGAGCGATGCAGGGGCGGCTCGTAGTACTGGAAGATGGTGAGGCACATTAGAAGAGAATTTTTATTAGTATGTATATAGGGTGGCCATTAGTACGAGGAAGTTCTATATAAAAAAAGTACATATCCTAAAAAAATATTTTCTTTAAAATTGCATTCGCATTACCATTTTTCTGTACAGAATTGGGTTCAGCATAAAATTCAGCATACATCACACTATTGATTTATTTGAAGCACTATATACCTATGCGGGATTTCCATGATAATTCATATTTGAAAAATTTCATCTTTTAAAAAGTGGTAAAAACTCCATGGAACTGGAGTGAATTTAACTTATTATTATTGCTTAAGTACGTATAATATAGCTACATACCTCGCTATCGGATAAAAGAAGAAATCCGAGAAAAATTCACATTCACAGGGATTTTTTTATGGCGCGGCCAACATTGCAATATTATAATACTATATCTCAGTTTTTTTTTAAATGCAATACACACTGTATATTATTTTTAGTATTTTAGATACCTACAGACTTAAAAAGCGCACATTTTTGTATTTAAAATATTTCTAAATTTTTAGCAGTTGCGGAAATAGCCTTATGTAATATAATTCGCAGTATTATACTGTATGATCGAAAAAAAAAACGGCGTCCAGTTGGCTGGGAAATGACGATCGATGACATTTCCCATACAAATTTACATATAAAATGACAGCGAACTTCATTTTATAGCCAACGCTGACGCCGTTTTTTCTCGATCATACGGTACCTATTACATAGGGCTATTGCAACAGTAAATTTTTATCAAAGCGACCTCAGGATATTTTCTCTTATATTTTACTCTGTATGGTAAAATTTTGTTTTTCTATCCATCCTATAAAAATAAAACCAAACGAAATCTGTAACAGGTCGCTTTACTTTTTGACTATACACAATTTATCTATAAATGATTCGAAAAACTTTACCTGGGGAAGTCCTCTGATGATGCATGGTCCCTCTAAATCATAATACCAATCAACAATAAGTCACTGCCCACTTAGGTATTTACTTTATATGTACAATAATCAGTAAAAAGAGTAATTAAACATGCAATTCACATTAAAAAACGTAGACAAAACAGTGTAATAACCTGCAGAATTAATTAAAACTCTGATTCAAACTAAGCCAAATTCCCAAATAATGCAATTCTGCATTTTCAGCCTGTCGCCTAAAATCTCTCGGGCTGATCAGGAACTGATCGGGAAGTGATACATATTTTTAACGAACGGCTTTTAAGGTTCAAATTTACATTTGAGGCCCGCCTCAATACGGTCTTTTTACGCGCTACTACTCCATACATTTTATCTCTCTTCAACTAAAGGTTTTGCCTATGCTTTTTCTGTTCATTCTACAGAGTTAAGATTCCAGTGTACGCTGTCGCTCCGTCAGTGCGATATACCACAATACGCTAGACAAGGAAAGGCGAGAGGCAAACCTCTGCACATATACCTCTTAAAGAACAAATGAGATGGATATACATCGTCGAGTTTGTCGCATATGGGATAGGAAGCGCGTTTAAAGGAATACCATCGACGTAATTTATTGTAGAATGACGGTTAAAAAATACAATTATTATTGATGCAAATAGGGAAAAAAATATAAAATTGTGATTAAAGATGTATCGATTAATAAGTGTAATTTTTCAAATGTATTGGTGAGGCACTGCCTCATCTGCCTCATAGGACAAGCCGCCCCTGGAGCGATGGTTTGACATCATAACAGATATTGCGCTTTTGCATAAAAAAATTAAATAGCATGCTACGTTTCTTTTTGCACTGTTAAATAGAGCACAAAATTTCCAAAATTTCAGCGCAAACCGCAACTTTCTAACTTCTCTCTAACGGTATTTTAACAGATATTAAGAGAACTATTTTTTGATTGGCCCATCACAGATGCGCCCCTATCGGACATTTTTCAAACTTGAAAATAATTTCCAGCGATTTCTTTTGGTCGATTTATTTATTACAATAAGAAGTTTCTGAGATACAGCCGGCGTCAATTCTTAGTTGGCCACCCAGTACATATTTTTGAGAAATATCCCGTTTTCTGATAGGCCGTAACAGATGGGTATCCCTAGCGGATATTTTCCTAACTAAAAAATAAATTCCCTTGGCTGATTTACTTATAAGGTTTTTTTTGTAGAAGTTATCGTTTCTGAGATAACAGCCGGAGTTCATTTTTAGTTGGCCACTCGGTACAGAAACTAATGAGGAATAAAGAACATGATACAACATTGTAGTAGGTAGTTGTAAGTGAATAATTTTAATAGCTACATAACAATTGTATCTCCATACTCACCTGTTGGATTTAATTTTGGGACATTTGCAGTTCAAGTCGGCCATAGGCACCAACATCTGCATGGTGCCCTTTCTAATTCTGGAATCTCGTGCCTTTTTGTAGATGGTCTCGACGTTGATCATGAACCTGGCCCATCCTTTGGTGTATTCGTCTTCGCTGTTTTCGATTTCGGATAGGACTCTTGCCATTATGGCTAAAACAACAAAGAAAATATATTATTATCAATAAAATAAAGTTATTTAAACTAAATAATAGTTATTTATTATATCAGTGTGTTATAGAGCAATTTATATACGCAAGTATGTTTAAACGCGAGAACGTAATTCAATCTTTTAATTTTCTTAATTCTGTAATTTTGTCTTACATCGGTGTAAACTTTAGGAGTAGAATGTAAGATATGATTTTATAGTTGCTTGTTTTTATAGTATTCTGTAACTTGCGTTGTACGGCCCATATACCGGATGCGTCTCAAAAGTGGCTCACCCCTATAACTTTTTTATTATTTCCGTTAAAAAAACGAGATTTGGTATGTTAGTATATGACATAAATTAGAATTGATTGACGTATTCAATTGTTTTCGGTCACTTCCTGTTTCACCGGAAATTACTACAACTTTTGATTTTTAAATGGCACCCTTGGTATTTTTTTACTTTATTCGATAGAAAATGACATTCTGAATAGAATGACATATCATATGTCAACTTTTGACATTTTCGCATATGGTTAATTTGAAATAATAACATGCGGTTCATAACGAAAATTTGACTCGAAATACCAAGTGTGTGGTATCAAATTATTCGTAAAAAAATGCTTTTTTCAAATATCCTAATGCCACCCTCGTTCCATTAGAAAAAAATGAGATATGATTAAAAATACGATTTGGGCATCTTTTAACCGGCCAAAGAAAAAGAGGAAAAGACGATCAAATCTATTTTTTCAAGGCTCCTTGATTAAAAATTAGCGTTTTTAACATAGCCGTGGCACTCTAGATTGAAATTTAAAATACAATTTTTGATTAGGCAAAAACGTCAAAAGTTGACATATGATATGTCATTCTATTCGAATATGATATGAATATCATTTTCTATTGAATAAAGTAAAACAATACCAAGAGTGCCATTTAAAAATCAAAAGTTGTACTTATTTCTGGTAAAACAGGAAGTGACCAGAAACAATAAAACACGTCAATCAATCCTAATTTATGTCATATACTAACATACCAAATCTCGTTTTTTATCTGCAAAAATAAAAAAGTTGTAGGGGTGAGCCACTTTTGAGACGCACCCGGTATACATACATCATATCATCCTTATATAAGGTGATCTTAAATAAGTTCAAATATTTTCTGGACCGGTAGATCTCGATAAAAGAAACACAACACATTTATTATATATATATATATATATATATATATATATATATATATATATATATATATATATATATATATATATATATATATATATATATATATATTTATTTTTCTCTTTACCGTTTTTCAAATAAGTCCAAAATAACAGAGGTATTTTACTGAAAATTTAAAAACAAATTGATTTTTCGCTTACATTTTGAGAAAACCCAGAAATGATCGGGCGGTTGATCTTTTCTGGGTTTTCTTTCTTGTAAATATAATCTACTACCTATATTGTTATATTATGAAGATATTACGTTTTTTAAATAAAAATTAAAATAAATTCCAAAAATTTCTGGCGAAAAACCCTCCTAGACGTGTTTCTAGGGTCCAAAGATACCACCCCTAAAATATTTACATTTATTTAAGACTCACTCTGTATTTATACAGCAGCTAACCTCAGAGACTGTTTTATTATCAAAAAAAAATATTTGTTTTAAAGAAAGAGTTTATAAATTCGATTTTGTGCAAGTTTATAGGAGTTTTATAGAAGCATTAACATTAACACAACAAATATAAAACTGGGGTTTCTATACAAGTTTAACCAATTTGGGAAAACAACTTCTGAAATCTAGACAAAATCCGGAAATATGCACGAAGATGATGACGGTATTTCTGTGGAAAATTTTGCGTAAGTTCAAAACGCAACTACCCAGCCTGCAAAGTGAGGAGAACATTACGAAGTCTTGCCGAATTTAACGAGTGGTGAGAAAAACGGAGGGTAATATCTATAAATGAAAACGTTATGTTGTCATAATTTTTTAAACGCGAAAAAAAAGTATGCAATTTCATCCATGTGTTCAAAGTATTCGATGTTAAAAGTGCTTTAGAAGTTTATACAGGGTGTCAAAAATAGTGTATCTATTACGCTCAATAGTCGAATTCGATACGCAAATCTAGTTTTGCTCAGCTCCACTAAAAACAGTCGCTCGGCGTAGACTATTCGCCCCCTCCCATGCATTATCTGATTTCGCCTGATGGCGCGTGTACCGCCGATAGCTCAAAGCGCACCGAGCGCACCGAGCGCACCGACCTAATGCGGTGCGCGGGCTTACATTTATTTCAACGTAAACTGAAAATTACGTGTCGCTCGCTCTCGCCGATACCTATTCAGTGCGCGCGGAGCTTAAAGTTCCGCGCGCACTGAATATGTGTCAGCGAGAGCGAGCGGCGCGACCGACACGACCGGTCCAAAAGTCGATTGTAGCCGCGCACTGGAGTCGCACGATCGGCGGTCGAGTACGTCACCAGCATAAATTTGAGCATAGACTAGGAGAAGTTTATTCAAATTTACTCAAATTCATTCGGCATTTCAAAAAATTATAAAGTATTATTACTATTTATATTTTTATGCAACTTTTTATATTTTATGCTTTATGATGGAAATTGATATTATTTAGATCTTAACCAAACACACATTAATAAATTTAGATCTTAACAAACCACATAAAATTAGTGAAATAGAGTGGAAGATGGGAATACTACATGACTCTTAGCTTGACCGATTTTAACAAATTTGGTATCATTCAAAAGGGTTTAATTTGTTCTTTAAAAACAAAGCTAGATATGAAAAATAGTCAAATAAAACTTTTATTTTTAGTTTTTTTAATCTAAATAAGTGTCATTAAAAACATTTATATATAGGTTTTATTTTAAGTTTTTAAAATCTTTGTTTTAAGTCAGTAGTAAATAAAACCAAACTTGTATTTACATTTTGTTTAATGATTGACGTTTCGACCAATTTTAATTCGGTCTTCTTCAGAATCTATAATATACGTATAAATAATTTTCTACGTTTGTGGTAAGAAAAAATTATATATTAAACACATTGTTAGTGATAAAATTGTATTGTATATTATAGATTCTAAAGAAGACCGAACTAAAATTAGTCGAAACGTCAATCATTAAACAAAATGTAAACACAAGTTTCGTTTTATTCACTACTGACTTAAAACCAAGATTTTGAAAACTTAAAATATAATAAAAAAGTCAAAGAAAATTGAAAAAAGAAAAAATATAAATAGTTTTTATAGTACCGTATTATCGAAAAGGAACGGCATCAGCGATGACCATGAAATGAAGGTCGGTGCCATTTTATATGTAAATTTATATTGGAAATGTCATCAATCGTCATTTCCCATCCAACCGGACGCCGTTTTTTTCTATCATACGGTAGATATATGTACAAATATTTTATTCAAACATAAATATTATTTTCTCTATTTGTACCTTTTACGGAGCGATCAACATAGTAACATAGGATGACTATTTATCAGCTGTTATTACTAATGTCAAAACAAACCAAAAATTAAATAATATGATAAGTTTTTTGACGATATTTAAATTCGATTTTCAAAATAATGTGAGATAATCAAAACGAGATCAGAAATAAATGGGTTTAATCGGAAGGTTTTCTAATTCAGTTATTGAATAAGTGTAGTAAACAATATAGATTACGTGCTTGTAAGAAATTTTTATCAGAAACCGCATATTAAGTATGATATGGTCTCGTACACTTTCGATTAATAATTCATCGGATATGTTTAATGTAAAACAGCTCCACTAAAAACAGTCGCTCGGCGTAGACTATTCGCCCCCTCCCATGCATTCTCTGATTTCGCCTGATGGCGCGAGTAACGCCGATAGCTCGAAGCGCACCGAGCGCACCGATCTGATGCGGTGCGCGGGCTTACATTTATTTCAACGTAAACTGAAAATTACGTGCCGCTCGCTCTCGCCGATACCTATTCAGTGCGCGCGGAGCTTAATATGGCAATACATCCAAAAAAAAACCAGAAAAGATCCAGTGGTTCTCAAAATTTTAGTAAAAAATATTTTTTTTTTAAATTTTCAAAGTAAAATAAGTCTGTTATTTTGGCTTTTTTTGAAAAACGGTAAAGATAATATTTAATACTAAACTATTTTTAATTTCAGTATTTCACAAATGGCATAAAAAATTTACCCCACACACACTAGTGGATAAAATATAATTTTAAACGCTTCATTTGCGTGAGTAAACTCCTATTATTGTATGAGTGTGCGTAAAATATATTTTTTAATACATGTACAGTAATTTTTGCGTCAATTTTAATCCCTAAAATGCAAATCGTCCGTTTAAAAAAATTAAAAAGGTTATGACACAATCCATAAACTACGTAAATGAAATTTGCATATCACGGAATATTTTATCTTGCAAATTCAATAATATCGGTTATTAAACGATGAAAAATATCACGCACAACTTCAAAAAATGTTCTCTTTTATGTTGGCTATAAATTCAAAAACGGGAGCCGTATATCCGTAGCGATTTTACACTAAATTAATTTTATTAAATTAATGAAACAAGTTTTTCCATTTTCGCCAAATTTAAAATAATTTAAAAGCGGAATTTAATATAAATCTGTTATAACTCAGAACAACGCGATTATTACAATATGGATTATTTAACGTTTCCGGACTAATGGTTGTTATATTTGTTCAGCTTTGTTGATATTGTATACAATATAGGTATATATAGGCTTAAAATTAATTAATTATAATATGTCAGCGGATGTAATTTTATTGTTAAAACATTAAAGCTTTTAGCTATAGATATATACTATCATCTATAATAGCCAACTAGGCATTCTCATTTTTTTTAAATTAATTAATTACACTGATTTTAAGAAACGCAGTATAGTAATAACAATGTGTTTCAAGGTATGGAGTGGCATGTAAAAGAAGTATGAATGATAAATGGTTGCTAAACAAAAATCGACCGTGAATAAATAAGCCAGTATGCT